AAAAAAAAAAAAAAAATCACTTAAAAAAAAAACAGAGCATCATTGAAAAAACCAGTGGTAGAATTATGTAAACAATGGCATGTCCGCTTGATGGAAATTGAAAATGATATGGTTTCAAAGGCTGCCGGTTAGGGGAAATGCCTGTGAATCAGCAATGTGAAAAAACAACAACATAAACCCCAGACCTGGAAGTCCCAAACTGGAGGCCCTCAGACCAGATCTCACACAAAGCCACATTTGCTTGGCCCACAGTGTCAAATCATATCTGAATTAGTCACTATCATTTAGAAGTCTGATTTCACATTTTGAAATATCTGGATTTCAGGCTTCTGTTGCATTTGAAGACCCGACAACTGGATGCCATTCCCACACCCCCAGTCTTTCACAGGCTACTTCTCATTTTTCTCACCTCTTGGATTCTGTTATCTCAATTCCCATTTTTAATGCTTTTTAAAAAAATCCTCACTCAAGGATATGTTTTTATTGATTTTAGAGGGAGAGGGAGAGACAGAGAGAGGTAAACATCGATTGGATGCCTCTGGTATATGCCCTAACTGGATGAAACCCACAACCTGGGTATGTGCCCTGACCAGGAATCGAACCCTGGACTCTTCAGTGCACTGGAGGACACTACTACCAACTGAGCCACACCAGCCAGGGCCCCATTTTTAAATAACAATAATGTATGTGCATGCCCAAAGTGAAAAGATGGGCAGGCAGTGGACACGGGTTAGCTGCGGCTGTTTCTTGGTGGTGAGGATACAGGTAGTTTCTTTGAAATACGTTTCACTTTCTTCTTAGTGTTCTGCACCTCATATGTAACACCTTAGTGACCAGAGGGGAAACAGTTTTTAAATGGCAGTTATATTTCAGGACAATGCTGCACTTTTGAGACTATCAGAATTGATGGGACAAGTGCCCCTGCTCAGCACCTCCACTCAGAGGGCAAGAGCCCGCCACCGCTGCCTGCAGGATGCGCTGGGGCTTCCCTTTCCAATCAGTCCCATAGGATGAGACAGGCTGGACTCAGCCCGCAGCTGGGTGAGGACACGTGGGGGTTTGTTATTCCTGCTCTGTCTACTTTTGTATATATTAGAAATTCTCCACAGTATAAAAAGTGAAACTATGTCATATATCCCAGGTCAGCTTAGTCTTTACTTTAGACTAAGCATTAAGGAAGAATACAAAAAGATAAGACAGAATCCTGTCTTCAGACAGGTATCACCTAGCCATGTCTGACATGGCTGGTGAGTTCAGGAGGCAGAGCTGAGACCCGCCTTGATCAGCATTTGCCCACATTCCTAGCAGTACTAGCTGCATGCCCCTTGTAGGTCAGGCAGGTGCAGTAAGACTTCTGGGAGGAGTGGGATGCTTGGCAAACTGCTTTAATCCTGATTTTTAGAACAGAAGGCTTTCTAAGGGGCATCAGCCTCCCTCCATGCTGTGGGAAGGACAGTAATACTGTGTCCTTGAGGTGGGGAAAAATAATTAAGCCTTTTTTCTGATAGTGTAAGACCCACAACCCTAGGGTCGCCCTGGGAATGATCACCAGTCCCCAGCCCCCAGTGTACATGTAGAAGGTGCAAGGGACAGGGCTGGTCTGTACTGACCCCCAGGTGGGGGATTTTGAGAAAGTATCCTAGATGCACATGTTCTACCACTTGCTTCTCTGCAAGTGAAGCCTGGCGAGGGAAAGGAGCTGGGATTGCAGTTTTACTGTCTCTACTTTACTTGCTGAGTAGTCACTGCTTCCCAGTATACAGATTACTTTTACATAAACTGGTAATGTGATTTTCACAAGACCCTTCAAAGGTAACCAGAGCCAGAGCTGAGAGCCCCTTTCTGAGGCTCAGAGAGAGCCCAGAGTTGCACAGCCTAGTAACAGCTGGCCTTGGCCCTGAGTAGGTCCTCTGAGTATTTACAAGTGGCTGGTGGGACATCATGGCTGTGGGACTGAAGTAGCAGAAGGGTTCCAGGGAGAATGTGTCAGAGCCTCAGAAGTGTCCGTGTTAGAATCAGAAGACACTCAGGGCACAGTCTGTCACAAAACACTTCAGTTGCATTTGTCAGAATAAATATTTTATTAGTTATTTGAGTTTTAAGAAGCTCTTTTTGAGACTGAAACTGGAAACATGATGGGGGAAAGTGTTTTTAAAAACATCTTCATTTGAGTTAACTAAAAAAATGCCAGGCTCTTCTCATTTTCTTTGGTCAGATCAGACTGTTAGGAACAATCTGCAGTGGGTACCTTTTACTTCCTCAGCTATTCACGAGGCTCATGGGGTGATTCTCAGAGCCGTTCCCTGTGACACGTTGCCTGGTAAAATTTGTGTCTCAAGAAGTCACTAGCAAAGTTGTCTGGGACATGCATTTTCAAACTCCTCAGGGAACTTGGAGAGCTGATCATTATTTTCATAGCTTTGGGTTAACTATAAATTCTCTGCCCAACCCCAGCACTGTCCAACAGAAATACAATGTGAGGCACACGTGTAATTTTAAGTTTTCTGTAGCCACGTTAAAAAAGAAAAAAACAAAGGAACTGGTGAAATTAATTTTAATATATTTCATTTAGCCCTATATTCAAAATATAATTATTTTAACATAGTCAACATAAAACATTTTAGTGATGATTACATTACTTTTCCTACTGTCTTTGAAATCTAATCTCAATTCAGATTAGCCACAGTTCAAGGCTCAGCAGCCACATGTGGCTCGTGGCTGCCATGAGGCCTAGAACAGCTCTGAAATGTGGATCACACCAGCCTCTGCCTTTTGCAATCACCCAACTTTTTTAGCCTGTTTATCCATCTATAATGTTGCCCAAATAAATAATGTGACTCTGGAACCTCTGTCCGCTTTTCCTCTCCAGGGGCACTTTCATTGAATTCCGAAATGGGATGTTAAATGTGTCCCCTATTGGAAGAAGCTGCAGCCAAGAAGAACGCATTGAATTCTATGAACTCGATAAAGTGAGTTTTTCTGAAATATCCTAGGTTTGTGAAGATAAGAGGTGCCACTTTGTGGCCATAGTTAAAGTGTGCAGCGCAATAGACAATCGATATCTTTTTGTTTTTCTCAGAAAGAAAATATACGACAAAAATTTGTAGCAGATCTGCGGAAAGAGTTTGCAGGAAAAGGCCTTGCGTTTTCCATAGGTATTGTATATTCAGATGGGTGTCAAGCTTTGCCAGGAATTCATAGTGGGCTCGTGCATGCTTGAGATTGGACTGTGCCGTTTGAAGGTGGGCAGGAGGATTTGAGAAATCCATCTGTAGGGAAAACCACTCTCCTGTGTAATGGGCCACGGCAGAGACTTGCCCAGCTAGGAAATGACCCCCAGGCTGCTGGGCTTGGCTGTAAATTCTTACCCAGCAGGAGCCTTCCTCCCTGCATTTCTCCTCCTGGTCAAAAGTAAGAGCATCTTGTCTAATGAAGAGTAAGAGCTTACCCTCACCCTTTGGGCAGAAGACAGGCCTGTGAGTGAACTCCACAGCAGAGAGATGGAATGGGGGCCTCTTAGATAAGTTAGACTGAATAAGACGGCAGCTCAGTTGGTTCTGCAAATCAAGAAACTGAGGCCCAGAAAGGAAAAGGGACTCGTCTAGGTTCCCCAGACTTTTAACTATGATGGACCAGCACACGAGTGCTTCTGGTGGCTGGTACAGACTTCCTCCCACACTGATGTCTCAGGCTTGTTTTTTGGTAGAATATGCCTGTCAAATGCCTCAAGCAAGCTGATCTCTCCTGTCAATGCCAATGAGTCATTACTCACAGCCCTCTCATTTTACTAGCACTAATAAATGTGTGGGCTGTGGGGAGGCTGGCATTGCAGAGGGGTTATGTCTAATAGATGAACGGGTGGGTTTTTAAGTAATCTTGAACTGTGAGATGAACGTCTTTCTGACAGCTTTGAAAGGGTTTTTGTTGCGGGTAAAAGCTGCCTGTAAATCACCTCCCGTGCGCTTTCCATTTTCCTGCAAGAGGAACTGGATGCAGCGGCTTCCGCTGAGCGGTGCTAGCTGGAGATGAGCACAACTGAATGGGGCTCTTATCAGATTTCCCCCAGCTGGTCATTTAAACCCTCTCGCCTGACAGAGCACTTAAATGCAAATGCATCCCTCACTCTGAGCCGGCGCTCTGGGTCTCACTTCTAGGTTTTGGGTGAAATAATGTTGGAAAAACACCTAAGGTGGAATGAACTTCTAGAACCTAGCCCTAAAGAAGTATAAGTAGCAGACTTGAGTGTTAAAAATCAACTGTGGCCATCAGTCACTGACAGGCTCAATTGCACATTCTTTCTGGTGACAGGTCATTAGCCTCCTTTTCACCTTCAGCTTGTGTGTTTCCCTCCCCACTTGGCAGGAGGCCAGATCAGCATTGATGTCTTTCCTGATGGATGGGACAAGAGGTACTGCCTGGGACATGTGGAAAATGACGGCTATAAGACCATTTATTTCTTTGGAGACAAAACCATGCCAGTGAGTATGGAAGTGTTTTTGCAGTTTCATTGTCCGGTTTGGGCTTGAAGGGGAGAAATAGACAAGTGGGCTTTTTCCCTTCACCCACACTTTACCCACCGGCCCAGCTCCAACTGAGAGATGCTTTTGTCCTGGAGAAGGGTGTGATTAAGGCTCCCTCCCCTCCGTGCTCAGATACCTGACACCTCAGCTGAGGTGAGACAAGCCTGAGCCTTTTGAATTAAACATTGCCCTCCCCAGTGCCTTCCAGAGCACCTGGCCTGGGGTATTGTCAGAGGCTCCTTGCCTTTCAGAGCCCTCCCCACAGCTTCCCCCCCTGCCCCCCCTGCAGTATTTTGTTTCCCAGAGGCCCTCATTTAGGTTGTGCACTAGGAGTCCTAAGTGAGAGGAGGACAAGGAATCTCAAATCGGGAATTCAGGAGCGGGCACTGGGGACACTTATGAGGTGGGGGTGAGTCCTGGTCATCTCACACACAGGGTACAGGAGCTGTCCCAGCAGGTGTGGGAAGTCCCTAGCCCAGGACTCAATCTAAACTCCAACTGAGAGCACACCCCTGTGCTGAAGGCCAGCACCAGCAGGAGGAATCTCTGGGAGGAATTTCCTCAGAGCCATCGGGGCAGCAGAGCAAGGCTCTCCTTAGGGCGGGTGGGTCCCCAAGAGGTTGTCACTGTGAGGCCCGAGGGAGGCTCAGCACCAGGTGTTCACTGCCTAGTCTTGGGCTCAGTGTCTCCCTTTAAATTCCTCTCGCCCTCTGTGCCCTTCAGTGGTTATCTTGCCATCAGATGTCCTGGGCCCTACTGCAGTCAGCAGGTGCATCATAAATGCTGCATAGAGACTTTTTTATGCCTTCCCTCTCTGGTCCACTCTAGAAAACTTGTTTTTTTCCTGCTAAGATCTATCCCGGGTGGCTCTGCCTTTCAGCATGTAAGGGACTTCAGGATACCTACTTGCATGTCCTTTCAAAATTATAAAACCAGGGTTCAGTAAGGGTAACTAACTTGCCCAAGGTCACACAGTTAATGTAAGAGCTGGTGGCACCAGAACAAACTCCCTGCTCTTTAAATGAGTATACTTTCTAGCCAGCAAACCCTCTCTCCAGCTGGTGGGAAAGAGTTTAAGTCCCAGGTGAACATGGTGCTCTTCAGGAGTGTATCAGTCAGCCTTTTTCTTACGACAGGGAACTGGTTTATAATCACATCCCTCATCGCAGTGCTCTGGATGCAGCGATGCTTGAGTGCAGGCTTTGAAGAAAGTAAGCTAATGAAATTGCACGCAGGATCTAAGGAAGCTTCTTCAGTGCCTCCAAATGGGTGCCATTTCCTACAGCCTGAGGAGAGAGCTATGAGACAGGCGGAAACACCTTCTGTGAGGATGATGTTCTTGCTGTGTGTAGATAGCCATCAGAAACCTAGGTGGGGCTTTGCACAGTGGAATGGAGTTCTTGAGTGAATCACAAAATGACTTCTTTGGGGAATTCTGCCTTTGGGAATTAGTTTTCTATTCTGTTTAACCACTGCATTACCACACTCAAGTCTGTTTCTCTAAATCTTACCTGCTTTTAAAAGGATACTATTCAGTGGAGGTTCCCCCACCCCCATTCTCTGGTAATATGCATTCATTGTAGAAAATTAGAAAAAGTATGAAGGAGAAAGTATAAGTCACTTATAGTCACAGCTGATGTGCCTCCAGGCTTTTCTCTCTGTACAAATATCAACCTAAGTGGGATCCCTGCATGTTCATTGTTTTATTCTCTGCTTTTGTTCTCTTACCATATTTTATTTCCCCCATGTTAGTGAGTTCTTTGCCAACAAAATTTTAATGGCTGTATAGCATTCCATTACTTGGTCATAGTTCATTCACCCGTTTCCCTAGTAGAGGCACCGTGGATCGTGGCTTCTTGCTGTTGTAACTAACACTGGTCAACATTCTCGCATCATGCTTTGCCCTCATCTCTGACCCTTCTTGTCAGTGGTTTCCTGGAAATGGGAGTGAACAGTCCAGCCGTCTAAACCTTTTAACAACATGTCGATTCTTAAAATTGTAGGCACAGAGCTGTTTAAATACTAGCTTTAAATGTTTTTTCATATTCGGGGATAGACATTTTGAAAGTTGTCTTCTCTCTGTGCATCAAGGCTATGTTTTTGCTGTTTCCAGGGAAGTGGCACCTGAGCTAAGAGCTGTCAGCAAGAGGCCACATCCCTGCCAAGCACCCCTGGCTCAGAGGCCTGCCTACTGCTCCTCTCTCCCAGACACACAACCTCTTCTGATGGGATCCAATGTTATACAAAGGTCCCGCCTGCTTTGAGCACCTCAGAGAGCAGAGTAAAGAAGGGAGACAGACCTTGGCCCTTGCTTTTCTAAATACTTGTCAGCCCAGAAAACCTTCTCATCCTTCCCATCAGCCACAGGAGCCAGGGTCTGTGAAGACTCAGCTGAGTTCAGCTTAGAGGCAGAGGGGACAACATGGTTTGTTGCAGGGAAGGAGGTGGCCAGGGCTCAAAAGGACATGACCCAGACTGTTCTGCATGGCTTTCCAGGGGCTGCACTAGCCACATCACCCCCAGTCTTTCTGAATTCTTAGGCAGAACAATTCCTGCATGTCCAGTGCTTTTTGGCTTCAGGGCAGTTGTGGCATGAAAACATTCTAACACTTTGTGAACCACTTATTGACCCTTTAACTCAGCAGTTCCACTTTGAGTTGGACCAGATCAGAGGTTCTCAACCTGGCTGAGGACCCCACTGGCTCCCTGTGGGAGGACAGGAAGCAGGATGCTGTACAGGGACCACGGGCTGCTGGTGTTCACTGGTGTCCCTGCTGTGCTGCCTGCCTTCTAGACACCAGAATCCATGGCCTCGCTGGTCCTGAGAACAGGACAGTGGCTGAGGGGACAAGCCCTGAGAAAGGACCCTCCTCTGCCACAGCTCCTCTGGTCAGGGAGACCCAGGCCTCAGGCCTCCTGGAGTGTGGCTGGCCTTGCAGAGTCCCCAGTACAACCACTTCTGTCAGAATCAGTGTCACCTGTGTGCCCGCCCATGCCAAGTCCCACACGCAGTTCTAAGCCCTGTTTATGTATGAGGGAATGGTGCTGGAGCCATCAGCAGACACCCAGAGTCACCCCAGGGACATAGCTGGACTGCCAGCTCACTCTCCACCACACCTTAAGTGTGTTCATCACTGAATGCTAAGCCCCTAGTCTTCAGCCCTGAAGTACATGAGAGTCACCCTTTCACTTTCCAAACATGGTAACTCTAGGCCAGGCGGTTTTTGTTGTTTTTTTTTTAAAGCATAAATGTTTACTTTTTTCAAGGAAAATTTAGTACAGTTATCTAAGGGCATTTATTTACTATTTTGAACATTCTAGAAGTATATATTTCACTGCTGACCACTTGGTTACAGCAGGCACCTCCCAGCAGTGAGCTGCCGCCCTCCACTCCACAGAAGCAAATGCTCTGGCCCGCCATTTAGCCTCCGCGCCTTTCAGAGGCCTTATTACCAGTGTCCCTGCCTAGGGACACGCCTCTTTATAAAAAGTATTTCTTATTTCATATACAAAACACCACTTGGCAGACTGAGGTCCAAAATGGAAAGAAAAATAAATTTATCCTAGTTCTGTAAGTTATCAGGAGTAAAATCAACTTTTCTCCTTGCCTTGTTACAAGGAAATAGAATTATTATTTTTTCTCTATCAGGAATCAGGACAGGAGCTTTGATGACCCCATAGATACAAAGTTGCTCACTGGTTCAAGTTCTTGTCGAAGATATTAAGAAGTAAGAAATCGGCTCATTTTTCTGTACAATTTAAAGAAGTATTTGCAGGACNCCGAAGATATTAAGAAATCGGCTCATTTTTCTGTACAATTTAAAGAAGTATTTGCAGGACATGTAGGAGTTACAGGGTATGTTGTAGGCCCTTGTGACAATATTTAAAAGAACTCCCATTTAAAATAACCCGTCTCAGGGGTAAAGAAATTGCTATCATCCCTGAGAAAAAGGGAAAGTCATAGGTGCTTTTACTTGTTGGTAGAAGCCACTAGAAAGTTCAGTCCAGCTCTAGCTTCTTCTCAGAGAATTGATATAAACTGCAGCCAGTGAGAGGTGCCTCAGAGACTCCCAGCTAAATGTAGCTAGTAGTTTTAGTAGTCACTCTGCAAAACCTTAAATTTAACTACACAACTGAACAGTCTCCATTTTGAAATGTGAGACTATCTTGAGAGGATGCTATGGGACATGAAACTGTTGGGCACAGGAGAATTTTTTAAATGTTTGCTGATTATGCAGGAGGAAAGGAAAGGGGGGGCTATGTAGTGGGGATTGTGAGAAAGGCAGGGCAGAGCTGTAGTCACAAGCTGGGCCATGCTTCTTGCTAAGTCGGGGGCCTCTGGGCATTCGCATGCTAGCTCTCACTCATATTGATACAAACCTGCTGCTGAAAGGTAAAATTAAGAACTTTCAAACTAATTTGAGTCTTTTGAAGAATAAATGATAGAAACCATTTTGGCCTCTTAAGGAGCCCCTCAGCCCCCTCCCCTGGTGTCTGAACCCTGCAGACCCTGCCTTCAGGTTCTTCCCCATGCCTTTGCCTGCTAGGGATTTAAATACTCATGGGCGGTGTGCGCTGAGCTGTGACCTCTCCTTTGGGCTGATACACTCTAAGGAGAGTATGATCATGGTCATTCATCCCTTTGCCCCTTCACTCCCTTCATCTCTCTGAGGAACCAGGTTTTGTTTGGGATCCTGGAAGCTGGGCTTCCCCCACTGGAGTCCAGTAACCTTTGGTGCACATGCAAATCTAGTGTTTGAAGTTTCAGGTGGCCTGAGGCCTCGCTATTCTAGAGGGCAGTGCTCACAGCTCTATGTTTTGGCTGTGCTTCTCCCTCCCTCCCACTCTGGTTTGCAAGCTCTGTGCAGCCACCCCTGCGAAGGAGGCAGCTGGGCGGGTCCTCTGGCCGGAGGGAAAGGATGGTAGGGGTTGGGGGGTTTGTGGTGCAGACACTTCGCTGCCCTCTGAAGACAAGTGGAGCTGTAAAGGGACCCGGAAGCCCAGCCCAGCTGGGGGAGGTTTTAATTCTCTCTGGACCTGGCTTCCTTACAAGTGGGTGAGTTACACAGTGGCTCCCAGCCCCACCCCAGCAGGACCATGGGAGACTCATGCCAAATTAGGCATTTATCAGTACACGTCTGTCCCCGAATGTGACATCCTCTCCAGGGAGGGGCAGGCGCAGCAGCTGTGAAGCATCTTGCTTCAGAGGTCACTCTCCCCAGCTAGTGGCTTCTGTCCTCATGGTGCACCCTGGCTGGCTGCAGGGGCTTCCTACCCACTCTGCTGCTGTTTCCTCACACCCATCCATTCTCTAGAAAGATCCTGCTGTACGTGAACCTCATTGTGTCCTGGGGTGCGGCTTTCTGGTGGCTTCACAGAAAATCCCAGGTCCTTACCCTTATCTTCCAGACCTTCTGGGGCCTGGCCCTGCTGGCCCCTCCAGCCACGCATTGCCTATAGATAGCCAGTCACACGGCTTGTCCCCTTACTTCCTCGGGTCTCTGCTCCAAGGCCCCTCCCGTCCCTCTGGCTTCCCTTCCCCTCTGTTCTGTGCAGCTCTCTCCCATGGCCGACCAAGCTGGAAAGCAGCCCTTTTGTCATTTGGTTTTGTTTGCTGCCACTGTATCTCCAGTTGCTGAAACTACGCCAGGCAGGGAGCAGTTGCCCCACCAGGCTTGTGGGGTTAGTAGGTAACTAATACTTCCTCCCTCCTAAGTCCGTGAGTGACGGAGTGAGCGTGTCCCAAACAGACGTTTGCTTTTCTTTTGAATGTAGTCCTCTGTGGTGTTTACCTACCAGGCCATTTCTAAGAGAATCATAGGAATTACTATAAGTAGTTCCACATTTGCTTGCTTAGGTAGCATATGCTGGCCGGGAAACTCAGGGCCTCTGAACGACCAGAGGATAGCAGGCTCCCGGGCCACACTGGGAAAGGGCATTCATGGCTCCCCCACCCACCCAGCATACCTTGCCCCTGGCAGCGTCCTCTCCAGAAATCTTGAACTTTGTTTCCCCCCAAGGAAAGCCATCTGCTTGGGGATGGGTTGTTCTTAAGGTATGAGAGAGGCAGTAATTTCAGGTGTCAGTCAACCCTTTAAAAAGATGTCAGATTTTCCTACAGAATCTTTATGAGAAGAACCCATTTTCTTAGCAGTTATTTTCATTGTATGATAAGCTAATTGATGTTTTCCAAGATTTCGAGTGAGACTGCCTATCCAGTTTTACGAGAAAAGTGTAGGAAATTCCTTGAGAAGAGAAGCAGGGGCTTTCCCCCTACGGCACTTGGCAGGAAGCCCAATTTATTTACCTGAGGCCAGCAGGATGGGACTCAGAGTCACAGGACACCTCCCCACCCCCACAGCGGCATGCCCAGTCCTCCCAGATACGTGCCCTTGCACAAGCAGTCTTGCCTTCAGCTCCTGGAGGTGCACCAGATAAAATACTGTGAAAACACCCAGAAAGACGAATTAGGTGCTACTGCTGCCACAGATTGCTTCCTGGGGCCTTACCCAGATCCCTTGGTCTCATCAACTCCTCCTCCCAGCCCTGTGGTGAGGTTCCTCCATTCCCCATTTTACAAGGGGAGAGTTGCCCAAAGAACCCCCTAGTCAGTGGTAGAACCAGGATCTAAACCCAAGCCACCTGGCTCAGACAGCCACATGGGGCTGTTTCCATTTAAATAAATCTGTCAAATTCAGTTCCTGGTCCACTGGCCATAGGGCAAGTGCTGCCTAGTCACATGTGGTGAGTGGCGCATCAGCTCAGAGACGGCCGTGTCCATCGTCACAGGAAATTCCAAGCACAGAGCTGCTCTGACTGCCTGGCCTGCCACACTCCCTGTGGCTTGTAAGGAAAGTCCAGGTACACAGTGGAGACAAATTGATGGTACTGAGAATTCTGTCACCTGCTGAGCTTGCTTGCCTTATAGCAGAATGAGCCTTAGATCTTCACTGGAACATCGTGAGTTCTTTCATCCGCATAATTACATGTTCCCAGCGGAGTCACAGTTCAGGAGAAGGTGGTAAACCCTTTCTCAGTGGTGACTGTCTCTGTTTCCAGAGGAACAAGGTAACTGGAGAAACCCTCCCTGCCGACACAAAGGCAGGTCCCTCATTTCTCTGGCAGCCCCAGCCCCAGGGCTGCTGCAGCAGCAACAGCTGCATCTGCTTTATGTCTCTGCAGGGCGGGAATGACCATGAGATCTTCACAGACCCAAGGACCATGGGCTACAGTGTGATGGCACCCGATGACACGCGCAGGATCTGTGAAGAGCTCTTCTCCTAATGCTCCTTCCCATGGGAGAGGAGGGAGGCCCAGCTGACAAGCCTAAAAGGGTCATTTGGTGGCCAAGCCCGGATCCCTCCCTCCCATGCCCACAGGACATTCACGACTATCCAACCCAGGACAGAAATTTTAAAACCTGAAATGCAATACCTGCTGAGTGTCAGCTTGGTGGGAGCTTTGAGACCAGGGCACTGTTATCAGACAGTGTGAAGCTAAGTGACTGTGTGGCCTCTGTTTTCCCACCTCACTTCCTGTTTGAGAGCCACAGACCTTGGCGTGGCCTGTGGGTGGCTGGCTGGCCAAGACAACTCTCCTGAAGGAATCTGCACCTCTGCCGGCTTAGTACACAGGTTAGCTCAGTGTTCACTGCACATTAAGGAGCTGGTTCTCTGTCCATCAAGATGGGAGGAAATAGGTCCCAACAGGCCTGTTGAGAGTCGGCTCTGAGCCCAGGTTCAGAGACTAATTTGGGTGTCACACTTCACCAAAGAGCCTTCTCACTGGACCTGGCTGGGCTTCCTGGGGGCCTGATTTGCCTCAAGTTTCTCAGGGATTGGGTGGGTGAAAGCCACAATAATGAACAGAACAGAAGCTGCCCTATTTCTCAGCAGGTCTTTGAATAAATAAGCACGTGGACCCTGGCCCTCACCCAGACAGCCTCAAGGCTAGGAGCGGCCATGGTTTGCTTGGGGCCCTCCCTTCCTCCTACCCAGGTTCTCCAAATTCCTTGTGAAATGGGAAGGCATCTCCAGGCCCTAATCCAGAACAGGGTGGAGACAGCTTTCCCCGGCAACAGTTAACATGTACTTCTTAGCATCTGGAAACGTTGGGACCGTGAGCCTGCCACAGATTGGTGCAGGGGCCGGGGTTTCGACCTGAATCCATGTGCTTTGCACCCTCCACCTTCCTGCCCCACCAGGTGCTTTCGTCACAGAGGAACCTGGTTTCCCCCAGACCTGGCCCCGGGCTTCTCTCAGCTCTGGGTCAGTCTGCCTGCCCCCATTTACCACACGGTTGACAATTCTTAACTGTTCCCAGGATGTGCCATCCGGTGGCATCTTCCCTTGTTGAAGTATTTTGCAAATGACCTTTCAAAGGTATTTTGTAATGACCTTTCAAAATGAAAAGTAGCAAATTAAATTGATTTTATTGTTTCTCATTCTGATTACTTTTCATGTCAACCTGTTTGCTCTTCTGTCAGATGGGATACAGTCCCTATCATGTCCCACCTAGGTGAGTTCATTTCAGAGCCCTTGGAATGTGTGAGGGCGCTATCACTAACTCAGGTAACCCCCAGGAGCCCTGTAAGCAGGACTCTTGGCCCTACTTTACAGGTGAGGATGAGCTGTCATTCCCTCAGCCTTGCGGCGTTCGCAGGATAGACACCATCACCAGAATCATAAACGTGTGGCTAAGTGTTGAGCAAGAGGGAAACAGGTTGCACCCGAGCAGCCTGCGGCTGGGAAGAAAGCAGGTCCCATCCCAGCACTGCAGAAGCTGACGGGTTACTTAGCCCTGGGCGCAAGGTCACTCATGGGTGGAGGGCACCGCAGGTGGCTGTTGGAGTGAGAGGCCACCGGGAAGGCCCTTCTGAACCTTGTGAGGAGCCTAAACCTGATCCTGAGGAGGAGCTGGAGGAGGCCCAAGACCTGCGTGACAGCTGAGTGGGGAGTGATGAAGGCCTGCAGAGCAGATGTGGGGTCAGGAAGGGCGGAGCGTAGGTGGTTTTGAATCACTTCCTTTTCAAGAACTGCTTCCTCTTCCCCAAGTGCTCCTGGATCTCAGCTCTGGCAGGCACCTGGGCCAGGCCTCAGGCCCCTTCCACCTCTGCCCCCACAGCCCCACTCCCATGTTCTGGAACCCACCCACCGTGCCCCCCCCTGCAGTTGGTCCCCAGCATCACCTGCAGTTTTTTGCCAAGGCCCCCCGCATGCCACCTGTGCAACATTCCCTTCGTGTACAACGTCCACAAATACGGTTTTGAGCTAAATGCCTACTTTGGCCTCTCCCTAAACAGGTTCAATGGGCTGGTCCTAGTTTTTCCTAATACACTGGGTTTTCTTGTTTGTTTTTAGTTCAGAGAGGAATTGTTGTTCCATTTATTTGTGCCTTCACTGGTTGATTCTTGTATGTGCCCTGACCAGGGATTGAACCTGCAACCTTGGCGTAATCGGGACGACACTCTAACCAACTAAGCTACCAGGCAGGGCCTTTCCTAATACACTTTGAAAATCAATGTATTCTTATAACGTTTACCTCTACACCTCCCCTGGGAAACACTGGCCCAGGAACGCTTCCCAGCCTGACACACATGAAGACCCTCCCAGAACAGCCCTGCCTGTCATCACAGACCCCTCAAATCCCCCCCACCCTCCTGGAAACCAAGAACTTGGGCTCCACACGCCCCACCTCTGAACTCCCTTGTCTGGATCACCTGTTCTCACGGCTCACTCTCACACAACCGACATATAGATGCATCAACAGGGAATCTATCCACAAGCGACCAAGTGAGTGGCACTTTCTGTTGCCACAAAGCCACCTTCTACCTCTAAGCTCTCCTACACTAAGAAAGATTAGGAAAAAAGGGGTGATCCCATTTTCTTACCCCCCAAAACAACCCGGCTATGAAGTAGAATGGCTGTCAGCCAGGTTTAGGGAGCCGCCCTTTTGGAAAAGCTTCCTCACAGCCAGCCTCCCGTCAACAAACAACACACAGCCTTGCACAAAACAAACTTTATTGAGAGGAAGGTGGCAGTGGGAGAAAAGACCTGGATTTAGCAACCCCAGATGCCACTCCCAGCTCCATCACCAACACAGGCCTCCCAGAGCCTCTTGAGTCTGTCTACCGAGGCTCTGAGCGGGGAGGGCGTCCCTTCCAGCTCTAACATCCCACAGCTCTGTAATACTCATCAAAGGAGCTGGTCACACAGGAAGGGCTGCAAGAGCCGTTTACAAAGGATCCCGCACACAGGGCACCTCTGAACAGCAGGTCCAATCCCTAACCCACCGGCGGGCGGAGTCTGTGGGGTCACATGAAAGACGCAGGCTCTAGGAGAAGTGGCTTTGGGAGTGTGGTCTGTACCCAACAGGCCTCCAGGGGCCACCTGGGGAACATTCAAGGCCCGTGGGGAAAGGTCACCTTGGACCCAGGAAAAGGCAAAGGCAGCGGGCAGAGGGCCCTTCAGGGGCACGATGGGCGAGGAAAAAGCAGGTCCAGTCACTTAACCAAGGTGTTTCACTGCACACACATCGTCAGCACGCCTTCTGTCTCAACAACTGCACCAGCCATCAGCAACGTGGTTCCAGCCTCCCACCCCTTCAGAGGAGGCCACCCCCAGGCTGAAAGACAAAGCATCCTGGGAAGGGAGCCGCTTGGGGAGGTCGCCACCGCTTCCCGCACAAAGGTCCCGCCTTTCACCTGGAACATCCTGTCTACCCAAAAGCCAGCTTTAAAGGGCCCGCTTCCCCNAAAAGCCAGCTTTAAAGGGCCGGCTTCCCTGCCTGACAAATGGAGTCTTGACTACACATAAGCCACATCTTTCACACATACTACCCATCTACTTCTATTTTTAAATCACAGCTAAAGCCAGCCCAAAGCACAGCAAATACAATGCTAAAGATCTGTTTACCGGAACTGTCTACAAAGGATGGCAAAGTCGGCAGCAAAGCGCAAAGAGCTGGCTCCACGAGGGCTTTAGTTGTGTAAAAACAAGCATTTCTTCACACTTGTTTCAGGAAAACCCCTTCATTAAAAGCATTTCTCCTTCAGGTCTGACTTTTCCTGACTGTCAGAAAGCAAGCTACCTACCTCTGGATGGATCAGGAGAAAGGTCTGTTTTTAAACAAACACCCTCCCCTCTCCACTCCCTCCTCCCACCCCACTCACCAGTTAAATGACTGAATGTGAAATGGCTCCTGAGCCCTAATCACTCAACTTGGAGACAGAAAAGACCAGGTTCCTGAGGGTTAAAATTCAGCTCTCAGCACAGCATTCCCAGGTGGAGGTCTAAGGGCTCCTGGAAAACCTTTTCCCGACCCCCAGCTGTGACACCTGCTGCAAAGGCACCTAAGAACCCCCCTAACACTCCTCCCACCCCTACCCCTTGAAGCCAGCTCCCCTGGATCCAACCAAGCCTAGAATCAAAAAAGCCTGCTCTGCTCAGGGTCAAGGAGACACAAGAAGGGGGCGCCTGGATGGGAATTCGTGCTGGGGAAACACACAGGGTCCATGTCACCACCCAGCGGAATTTTGAGCCTCCAACCCCAGCGGGACAGGGATGGGGGGCTCTGTGGGCTGGAGAAATACCACCTGACCCACCCCCTAGGCGAGGGTTGTACCTTCCACTCAGCACCATCCAGGCGCCTCTCCTTGTTCAATGCTTTTAATACTTTTCAGATGGTGAGGTTGTTGTGATGGTCAGAGACTGTGCTGGTGGCCCAGACACCCCGTGCCTGCCCCAGACACCCCTTCCTCCAGGAGCTACTTGAAAGGGACCGTACTCCCTGCTGTGAAGCCGTATCTTGGGCAGTGGAATGTCATCTCCAGTCCGGCTGCCTCCTCCCCCCAGAGTCTCCCACAAGCCCAGGAGAAGGGGTGCTCCTGGCCTCTCCTAGGAGCTGACGACGTGGCCGGACCAGGTCTCGTGCTTGGTGCCCGGCGCCAAGTGGGTGATGACCACCTCCACGGCCTGCAGCTTCTCATGCTTGGGCGGGATGGAGCACATCTTATAGGTGACCTCGTCGCCTTCCACCGGGACGTACTCCCCTTCCACACTGCAGGGCACGGGAAAATACACTCAGCGCCCAGCACGCAGAAGAGCCCGCGTGATGCCATGCCCAGGACACCACGCGCCACTGGTCAGAGGGCAACCCCTTTAAGACGACCTGCCCCTCCCGCCCCATGTCAGAGGGAGCCACCGTGCTTTAAGTGGCCCCACGCTGCCCCAGCCTCTGCTCTTGCTGAGGAGCCCCTGACCCAACCAGCTGCTCCCTGGGACCTCTGATGCTGAGACAGGGAGCTCGGCCGCCTGGGGAGCTTACACTTTACAGTAAGCATGCGCGCTGTGGGCCTTTTGGACAGAAGAGCAGGGGGAGCCAGTCTGAGCCAGAGAGAGAACCCAGGTGGTCCCACTGGAGTTCAGAGACGGCCTGGGTGAGGGTTTCCTAAGCCTGCAAGCCTGGTCCAGGAGACCCGGAACCCAGGCTGCACCCCTGGCTCTTCAATTTCCCAGAAACCCGGTGAACTTTCAAGAAAGACAGAAGGGTCCTCTCCCTTGGGACCACCCCCTGAAAGATTCCCTTACTTTCTACGGGACACGAATCCCTATCCCACCCATGATGGGGATGCCCCCTTGATGAGACTCCATGAGTCCCCTTCAGATCATGCACACCAAGGCCAACTCCCCCAGAACTGGTTTGCCTTGATTAAAGAATCAAAGAGCAGCCTGGCCGGCATGGCTCAGCAGTTGAGCATCGACCTAGGATCCAGGAGATTGCGGTTGGATTCCCGGTCAGGGCACATGCCGGGTTATGGGCTCGATCCCCAGCTGGGAGTGTGCAGGAGGCAGCTGATCAATGACGCTCTCATCATTGATGTTTCTATCTCTCTCTCCCTCTTCCTTCCTCCCTCTGAAATGAATAAAATATATTTAAAAAAGAATCACAGGGCAAATGGGGCTCCCCTCTTTTACTTGGCCACCAGGAAGCACAGGAATAAATGCGCAGCCACTTGGAGCAGCAGAACCATCTTTCTCCTTCGCGCCACCCCCATGTTTTCCTTACTAGCTTATTTTTCATGACGCCTTGTGCATACCCTAACAAACCGCCACAAAGCCTTTCTGGAAAGGGGCAATGCACATCCCGCACGCACTCACGTACGCAACGTGCACTGTTCAGCATCTTAGGTCTGTGCTGTACGGGGGACCTACTGAAGACCGATGTGGAAGAATGTGAGGGAATGAAGAACGCGTACTTCTCCCTTCACAGCAGACATTTGCAATAGGGCCCCGTTTTCCAATATATGGCTTCTATATACAGGGTTGGGCAAAGGCAGGCTTACAGTTGTTCGTTATGGAAATGAATCCAATAATTAATAAATACTAATACAAGGATAAACTCTGCATCTCCCATACTCACAACTGTAACCCTACTTTTGCCTCACCCTGTGCAGGATTTTCCCACAAATCGAAATGAAAGATCAGGGGATGCTGAGGCCAAGGATGGGTGGGAGTAGGGGTGCCAGGTCAGGACCCCACAGTTCTGAAGGGGGGAAGTGAAACACAGGCTGCAGGACGCCAGGCCTACAATGTGTGGGACCCGCCCTGGGCCCTCCAAGGGCTTCCAGACACTCAGGAAGGAAGGACATCAGTGAGCAAGTGACTTGAGAAAGGGACCAGCTCCAACTTCCTGGATCCAAGGGGCCCGGCAGCCCCTGCCCTCATCTGGCCGCTTCCAGGAAGGAGGGCAGGAAACCGCCCTGAGGCCAAACACAGCCTCCCCAGCTCACAGGGACACCCCTCCCCATCCACCAGATACCCAGGGCACTCAGCCCCACCCCAACGGTTCTCCACACACACGCGCGCACACTGTCGCCTGCAGCACAGGACATACCAGCACTGCCAAGTGCAGTTTCACAACCCCACTCCCGAACAGTCACCCCAGATCACACACGCCTGGCCTCCCACCCTCATACGCAGCACCCATCACAGTCGCACACTCCCTGCCACTGAGGAACCAAGACAGTGCCCGCCAAGCAGCCCACCCAGACCCCACGGACTCACTCGGAGATGTGCAGGAAGATGTCGGGGCCGCCGTCAGCAGGGGTGATGAAGCCGTGGCCCTTGGATCGACAGAAGCACTTGCATACTCCTTTGTAGATGGGGCCCTGCGAGGCCCTCACCGTTCTGACAGAGGGGGGGAAGTGTGAGGCCCCCACCAGCCCTGTGGAACAGCCCCCACTCTCCTGTGCACGCCCAGCGCCACCCACGGCAGAGACGCCAGGCGGCCTGGCCGGGCCATCGCGTACGCCCTGCCGGCTGTTCACCACACAACACGGGTGGCCATCGCACAGAATCCAGTAGCCTTGGCAAATGTTCTCAGGATGCAGCGTCCCCATTTAAAAAGCGGGTATTAGACTAAAAGCTCTGAGCATCTCTGCCGACAAATTATTAATCAGAGCAGCGGCCTCCACTCACTGGGCCTGAGGTTGCGTCTGCCAGGCACCATGTGTGTCCTTTGCGGCACCGCAGCAACCCTCCTACTGTCCCCACTTTGCAGCTGAGGAGATTAAGGTCTCACAAGGGAGGAGGCTTGTGTGTGGTTAAAGGCCAATGATTTAAGACCAAGCAATTCCCACCTGTGGTGACCATCCCTCACCCCCAGCTCATGACAGGCTCTAGTGGGCCTAGGGCAGTGCCCTCCAGAGTTCGAACAGCACTTTCGTTTCTCACCCTGACCCCGACCCCACGTCTCCCCATTTGACAAACAGGACATTGAGGCACAGGGATGGCCAGTCTCTAGAAGCCTCCCCCAGCCAGCCCAAGACTCACGCGGAGAAGGTCCTCGTACGACGAGTGGGCAGTGGGCTGGGGACCACATTGCTCCGGAGAGGGGACGGTGAGCGATTGTGGGTCCGCTGGGTGTCCAGCAGCCCGACGGAAGCCTGGTGGGTGGGGGGCTGCGGTGGCGGAGGAGGTTCAGATGACATGGCTGACCTGGAGAGAGACAGGGCGGGGGGCTCTCAGGGGCTCACATCTGCAAGAAGGGCCCCAGATGCATGCCCACCCCCACCCTGGAGAGTGTGCCAGCTGAGACTCATTGCTCTCGCTGGGACACAGGAGCGAGCGAGCTCAGTGTGAAGGTCACAGTCATGTCTCCACAAACAAGTCAGCCTGCCCAGCTGGGTCAGGCGCCTCCCCTGAGGTCTACAGCAGCCGGGGGCCTCCCTCTATCACAGCTGTGCTCAGAAATGCTGGCTCGGACCTATGCCAAGGGTGCCACTGGTCCCTGTATGTCCCCAGTGCCCAGCACAGACCTGGGAGCACTTAGTAAATACTTGTGAAAAGAAGGGAGGGGAGGAGCTAGGGAGGCAGGCAGGGCTGGCCGGCCTTTGCTTGAATGCCAGCTCCCCAGTCTTTGCAGGACTCCAGCCACTCAAACATTTCCTGAACCCTAAGCGCCAGGGGTGG